TCGGCCGGGGGATGCTGAAGCCACAAGCAAAGAAAATTTAAGCCTAGAGCGTAAAGGACTACCCTCGACCCATGTCAAAGAAACAGGTACGTGACTTCTTGGAGTTGGTGGTGTACTACCGGAGGTTTGTGCCTAATTTCTTTGCTCTAGCGTCCCCCCTCTCAGATCTCACAAAGAAGGGCCAGCTGGCCAAGCCCTGAAATGTGCCCTCACCAGTGCGCCGGTACTGCGCAACCCGGACTTCACCCTCCCATTCACGGTGCACACCGATGCATCCGAAACCAGGCATGGTGCAGTTCTCTCACAAACCTTCGACGGAGAAGAACACCCGGTCCACTATATCAGCCGGAAGTTGGCCCCCGGTGAGAGGAAATATGCAGCCGTGGACTGAGAGGCCCTGGCAATAAAGTGGGCCATCGAGGAACTGCGGTACTACCTGGCTGGCCGGCACTTCGTCCTAGTAATGGACCGCACCCCCTTACAGTGGATGGCCAAGGCTAAAGAAACAAACACCAGAGTAACCCGCTGGTTCCTTGCCGCAAGTTTCCTACGTATCTGTGTGTGTGTGTGTGTGTGTGTGTGTGTGTGTGTATATATATATATATATATATATATATATATATATATATATATATATATATATATATATATATATATATATATATATATATATATATATATATATAAAAATTCCAGCCAGTTGGGCCCTTAACCATCTTTGCTCCAGGGGCACCAAGTTCCTGGCATGCTGGGGTATGCAAAAAATAAATAAATAAATAAATAAATACATTTTTCACTGTGCTATAATGTATATGTGACCAGTAAAGACTCATTATCATTAGAAATTATTATTAATGCATATCATTAAGTGTGTGTTCTGTGCAAATGCCAATTCAACTTCAATTATTGCCTTATTTGGTCCATACTGACATAACTGAAATAACCTACAAAATGATAGTAAACAATAAGTGGTTTGAGTACTCCACAAGGTTTTAGCAAGGCATATTGTTATGTTTTTAAAAAAAATATGTATACTGTATATGCAAATATGAACCTTTAAATATAAAAGTGTTGTCAACAAGTGTAAAAAATAAAACAAAAAAATGTGTCCTTCAATTACAATGAATGTTCTAAAATGCACTGGAAACATACTTTGATTACAGTTTATTTTGAAAAGTATAAATGTAGAGCCACTTGTTGCTAGCTTAAAGATAATATACTGAATGTAAAATAGAAAAGTGAAAATGGGAGTCTGTCAATCTAGCCAGTCCTAGCACAGTAGGCAGTTTACTGGTCCATGTTTTTGGTGTATATCGCCAAAGACTACATCCCTGCATGTGTGTATTTTGACTGTGGGGCCTTGTCATTTAACCAGAAATATGCAGTAGAAATTTTTAAACGATGGTATAACAACACATTAGTGTATTTTGTGTCTTTAAAAGCTTTAATATTTAAGGAGTGTGCATTGTGGGTCATAGTAGGTCATAGTGAATCAAAAGCCTATCACTTGACACAAGGCTAGAGAATTCCCCCAAAATGGGACACCAATGCATTGCAGGGCACTGTGCACACACTCATTCTCACCTACAGGCATTTTAGCATAACCAATCCACCTACTGACAGGTTTTTGGTAGGAGAAAACTGGATAATCTGGAGGAAACCTACACAAACACAGGTAAAACCTACCGAACTCCACACAGACACACAGAGGAACTGAAGCTTAGGACTGAACTGGAGACGCTGGAACTGTGAGGCAGCAATGCCTGCTACACCACCATGCCACAATTCCTGATATTATTTGACTTTAATAGCACGTAGGCATTGAGAAATTATTTGTTAATACCAATTTTATGTACTTGTGTGGATTTGCCTTTAGGTAAAGCTACAGATTATCTTCAACATTTTAATGTGTAGCAACACAAGAGGCCTCTGAAATATGGAATGTCTTATTGGCCCAGAATTAGTTAAATTGCTATAAAAATGGCTAAATTGCTGTTTATAATAATACTGCTATAGCTTTGAATAAAGCACCAACTGTTTTTTTCTATGTAACTTAATGTAGGCCATTGATTGGTGAGACGGCTCTATTTGTGGCTGGCACCAGTGCCATAAACAAATCAAACAAATGCAAAATATCACAAAAGCCTGCTGTGTTAAATTTTGGAAGTGAACATAATAACCAAAGGCCAGCTATTCAGACCAAATCAAACCTTAATCTGTGTCTGGAAAAACAGGCACAATAGAGACAATATGCTCCACCTGGACAGAGTCAATCCATAAAGAACTGAAATATTCTGATTTCATGGTGTTTCTACACTATGGTGTGAGCATAGAAAATAGTCTGTGCAATATTTCTTCACTGTAACATAACTAACACGTGTTTAGGCATCACACACACACACACACACACACACACACACACACACACACACACACACACACACACACACACACACACACACACACACAATAATCAGATTAAAAATGCATGTTGGCATATTTGCACTCAACATTTTTACTCATGTAAATGTAGCAAATATTCTGACAATGCATAAAACAGTAATAAAATGAATGTACAATTGTCTTGTATAATTTTCTACACTTACTGCAATATAAGTAAAAGTTGCCCTCTACAAGGTCATTTTTAATTAAATTAATGGTTAGTCAGTTAGTGTGCTTATCACCTGTTAAAACTGAAAACTGATGATTGGATCCCTGCTTATCATTAATCTTTCTTCATTCATTGCGGCAGTACAGAAAAGTTTCCCAATCACACAGCTATTTAATCTGGATTTTGCCCTCCCTGTCTCTCTCCCTCAAGTTTTTATGTGACTTTTCTTCTCTTGTTAGCAAGTTACATTACATTTACATTTACATTTATTCAATTAGCAGACGATTTTATCCAAAGTGACTTACAAATGAGAAAAATACAAGCAATATATCAAGCAGAGAACAATACAAGTAGTATGGTTAGAGCACATGGCCAGCCATGATACAGTATCCCAGTAGCACTTGATAGTTAAGGGGCCTCAACCACTGAGCAACCACTGCACTGCTCTTTTTGAATAAGTCATGTATTGAAAATGCTGTTGGGCAATTTTTGGTTAGGAAAATGGTTCATAACTCTTAATAATAAAGAAAAGGTGAATTATAATTCTAATCATACCTGTATTTGTGCTATACAATCACAAATTGGCAATGATCTTTACCTTTCTGATAAACTTTGTAAAAAATTTGTTCATATTGACAATCACATTTACAGCTGTCAAAGTGTAACCATAATATGTGGGTTCACCTTGAGGATGAACTGGAATACTGACTGCACCTCAGGTCTCCTTGCCCAAACATCAGTGCCCAGTCTCGATAATGCTTTTGTGTCTGAATGAACAAATCCCCACAGCCATGCACCAAAATCTAGTGGAAAGCCTTCCCATAAGAATGGAGTATATTATAACAGCAAAGAGGGGACTACATCTGGAATGTGATATTCAAAATGTACATATAGGTGTGATGGTCAGGTGTCTACAAACATTTGGTCATACAGTATATGTTTAATTAAACAGCTTTTCAGTGTTATTTCACTAACGATACAAGATAGAGAAGGAGAACTCTGCTGTTGATGGCAAGAAAAGGCTTGAGAGGTAAAAACAGGTGGAAATATGAAGTTTGTTAGGAGCATAATTTTAAATACGCCATTCGATTTTGTGTGATCAGGGTAGATCCATGTGCAAGCAGTCTTCATTTGTAAGAGAGTGGGTCAAAATGTGTTTGTGGTTAAAATCTAGTATGTACACTGTTGAAGTTTTGATAGACTAACTTAAAGACTAACTTGATAGACCACGTAAAATCTACCTGGGTGAATTAAAACATAGCCCACATAATAATAGTAATGTCCAAAGACATGCATGATAGGCTGACTGGTATGTCCAAAAGTGTCCTTAGTGTATGAATGGGTGTATGAATGTGTGTGTGATTGTGCACTGCGACGGATTAGCACCCTGTCCAGGATGTACCCCGCCTTATGCGCAATGCTCCTTGGGATAGGCTCAAGGTTCCCCGCAACCCAGTAGGATAAGCAGTATAAAAGATGCGTGGATGGATGGATAATAATAATAATAATAATAATAATAATAATAATAAAAAGAAGTATTATTATTATTTTTCATTCTTCTTCTTCTTTTTCTTCTTCTTCTTCTTCTTCTTCTTCTTCTTCTTCTTCTTCTTCTGCATCTTATTATTATTATATAAAATCGAGCATAAGATCACAAGCATTCATAACTTACTTTGCATCACCATGAGATACTGTATTGCTTGCAAGCATTGTATACTCTAATTAATAGTATAAGAACTATTCAAGTACTCTACAGGATCCATCAAGATTTTAGTCAGGGACTAAAATGTGGCCTTCACTGTCAAAACCCAAGGATCTAAACAAAGAATCTTTTGAGCTTCAATATAACTTACTCCTCCCTTAGCTATTTAGGCCAATACAAAAAAATCCAAAAAACTTTATTATATGATGCGAAAATAGGTTCATATTCATCGTTACTCAAACGTGGCATACCCAAACTTACACGGAACAAGCAGGGGATGATTTTGAGACATTTTTTTTAAACTTGCTACAACAGTAAAGAACATTGAGCAAAGGCTTTGCAAGTTCCACAGAGATTTAAACTTGGATACCTGGATTCAGTCCAGAGTGTGGACCATTACACCATGGAACCATGATACTTTGGAATTTTACTTTCCACCCACTGAACATTAGCATATACTGACTGATATATTATTGCTCTCAGTTATTACAAAGGTCAAGGACTAAATGTAGCCTGAATTGAAGCAGGACCCTTTTATTTATTATTATTATATGCACCTAAAAAATTGGCCTGTAATCATATTGACAAGAATCTGGTATACTCATCTTTACATGTAGCAAGGAGAAGATGCTTTTGAGACAATTTTTACATGCTTCAGTAGTAAAGAATCTTAAGCAAAGACTTTGCAGGTTCCACCAAATTTGAACTGATATAACTGGATTCAAGTCCAGAGTGCTAACCATTAAAACATGGCACCAAGACACTTCAAACCTTTAGTTTCCAACAACTGAAGAATAGGATATACTCTGATCACTAGTTTGAGAGTCCAGAGATTTAACCATTACACCATGGATCGAATATACTTTCAGAGTTTAGATTCTACCAACTGAATACTAGGATATACTCAATGACATTTTCTGTCATTATCACTGACTTATCACAAATATCTTGGAGAATAAGGACTAAAAAGGTATAACCTAAATATCACTGTTGAAACCGAAGCTCAAACCAGAGACCTGAAGATTTTCAGTCTAAGGAACCTTGTGGAAAGACAATGCAGGTTCCCCTGAGCTTTTGTATGCAGATTGATGGATTCAAAAAGCTAACTATTACATCATGGAACCAAAATACTGCAAACATTTTAGTTTCCACCTAGTATACATTAGCATATGCTGATTGATATCATCTTGTTTTCAGTTAACACAAAGGTCAGGGACTAAGGATGTACACATATATTGAGGAGAAACTTTCCAGGTTCCACCTAGATTCAAACTCAGTTCGGTGGTTTTAAAGCCTACAGTGTTGACCACTTTGCTACAAATATAAAGTAGTGAGTATACAGCTTGTGTAACAGAGTAAATTTGCTATCCTCTCAAAATAATTCAACACACAGCCATTAATGTCTAAACCGCTGGCAACAAAAGTGAGTATGGTGTCAAGTGTGTGTGGCGGCAACCAGGTGAGGAGTACAAAGACAGGTGTGTCTTGCCTACAGTCAAGCATGGTGGTGGGAGTGTCATGGTCTGGGGCTGCATGAGTGCTGCCGGCACTGGGGAGCTACAGTTCATTGAGGGAACCATGAATGCCAACATGCACTATGACATACTGCAGCAGAGCATGATCAGTATGCAGTATTCCAACATGATAACAACCTCCAAGACAACCACTGCCTTGCTAAAGAAGCCGAGGGTGAAGGTGATTCACTGGCCAAGCTTGTCTCCAGAGCTAAACCCTATTAAGCATCTGTGGGGCATCCTCAAACGGAAGGTGGAGGAGCACAAGGTCTCTAACATCCACCAGCTCAGTGATGTCGTCATGGAGGAGTGGAAGAGGACTCCAGTGGCAAGCTGTGAAGCTCTTGTGAACTCCATGCTCAAGAGGGTTAATAATGGTGAAAATAAGGGAAAATAATGGTGGCCACACAAAATATTGATACTTTGTGCCCAATTTGGACATTTTCACTTAGGGGTATACTCACTTTTGTTCCCAGCAGTTTAGACATTAATGGATGTGTGTAGAGTTATTTTGAGGGGAGAGCAAATTTACACTATTACACAAGCTGTACACTCACTACTTTACATTGTAGCAAAGTGTCATTTCTTCAGTGTTGTCGCATGAAAATATATAATCAAATATTTACAAAAATGTGAGGGGTGTACTCACTTTTGTGAGATACTGTATCTACATACAAATTTGTTCTGTTCAATGCAGTATTTCCATTGAGTGTTATAGTCTATACCTTGTATCAGTAATATAAAGTGAACATTATTCTGGCATCTAAATTTGTTTAATGGTGTGCCACTCTGTGCTACATATTCAAGTATGTGTGCATGCATGTGTGTGAGAAGGCCTGAGTGATATACATATGCTTTCTTCACTACATCTCATGAAGGTGCTGAAAGAAACTCTTTGAGTATCAATGCTGCATGTGCCTTGTGTTTCAATTAGAAATAAGTTCTGAGCTCCAGTAATGACCCAGACATAACAACTAGTGTAGAGATCCAGCAGGAGTTCTGCTAAACACATGGTGCTAATGAGGCCAGCATGTTGTATTTTTATACTGCCAATTGCCAACTCTGTGCTGAAAGTCAGAATATCTATTTTAATATAGTCAATATCTCTCTTAACTGTCATCACCTGCACAAATATGTATTTTCACAATGGAACAACAAAAGCACAATCATATGGTTTTAGGATATGCTAATATTTCTCAGTGATCTTGGGTCTTCACAGCTTCCTCTTGCAATTATGATGTACATGGCAGACTGCTACACAGCTCAAGTTTGTTTTAGTTGAAATGTCTTGGCTCACAGAGGGGTAGTCTTAAGGAGGGGAAACTATAGGTACCAAAGAACAAGAATGAATATTCCCTTATGGAAATATAGTATACTTCAGTACATTATTAAAGTGTAATATAGATAAGTGCATTAAGTACATACAGTATATCACTACACTCACTCATTCTTCTACAGTAATTGCCTTTTCGTTCATTATATTCAACAGACTGCCATGCGCAGTCATTCTTTTAACTAGTGAATTCTATCACTGCATAATGAAGGATAATATCCTCAAGTACCATCAGGTTATCACATGCTCCATAATGGAGAACAGATCTCTGGACCATGTTTACATACCTAGAATGATGTTTTCTGTGTCCTCCCTCATGCACTACTTGGAAACTCTAACCATGCCATGATCATGCTTGTACCCACTTACACGCAAACCATGAAACAAAACAAACCATCCAGGACAATCAGATGCCACTGGACTGCTGAAGCAGTGAAGGAGCTACAGGACTGCCTAGGCACCACTAACTGGCCAGCCAAAAAACTTTTTGCCACCAAAAACTTTAGTGAGGTACAATAATGATAAACCATGGTTCACTAAGGAACTGAGGGTGCTCAGGGCTGTCATGGGGTGTGCTCACCAGGCTGGAAAAAGAGAGGAGTATCACTCTGGTAAGCAAAAGTTTAACGAAGTACTAAACTCTACAAAGAGGGGCTATAAGGTATGGCTGGAGAGGGAGGTCTCTACTAACAGCACTAAAGCTTTTTGGGGCTCATTGCAGACACTCACCAACTACAAATGCAGGAGCTCCCAGGCACCCCACACCCCCATTCTGGCAGATCAATTGTATCAGTTCTACAGTTGCTTTGAGAGTTCTCCCCCTCCCACCATAATGGATGGCTCTAATGCCTCTTCCCCAGCCCTGCAGGATGCCCCTACACCCATTTCTTACCTCCACACTCACTATAATTTCAGAGCAAGCTAACAAGATCTTCAAAAAACAAATACAAGGAAAGCAGCAGGGCTTCATGGTGTCACTCCTGGCACTTTGAAAAACTGTGCTGTCCAGCTATATCTGGTCTTCGCTGATATCTTCAATGAATCACTACAATCTTGTAGAGTTCCTGATTGCCTTAAAGTTTTCACCGTCAATCCCATCCAAAAGAAGGACATTATTACTGGACTTAATGACTATAGACCAATGACACTGACCTCAGTGGTGAAGAAGTCTTCTGAGCATCTGGCTCTAAATCACTTGAAATCAGTGACTGAACCTCTCCTGGACCCTCTACAGTTTGCCTATAGGGCAAATTGCTCTCAACATGTGTCTTCATTTTCATTGCATGTTATAGCTCCTTGACTTCACAAACACATATGCCAGAATTTTGCTTGTGGCTCCTCCTTTAATCCCCAAAGTAGCCAAAACAAACTCTTACAGCTTGACATCCATCCAAGCACCTGTCAGTGGATGTCTGATTTCCTGTCAGAGAGGAGACAATATGTACATCTTGTACAATATGTACAATATGTACAGGGCAGCTGTGGCTCAGGTTGTAGAGCGGGTTGTCAACTAATCACCGACCCACATGACTTAATGAAGTGTCCTTGGGCAAGACACTGAACCCAAGTTGTACCCGATGGCAAGTTAGCACCTTGCATGGCAGTTCTGCTACCATTGGTGTGCGAGTGTGTGTGTGAATGGTTGAATGAGACACAGTGTAAAGCACTTTGGATAAAAGCGCTATATAAGTGTGCCATTTACCATTTACATCTATATCATCACTTGTCTGACCATCTAACCATCAGCACAGGTGCACCTCAAAGTTGCATTCCCCCATATTGTTTTCACTTTGCACAAATGACTTCTCATCCAGTGATGGTGGGCCTCATCTCCAGCAATGATGAGTCAAGTACAGGAGAGAGGGAGCAAAACATGACAGTGGAGATGATCGCGGATTAAAAAAAAATTATATCCATATTTGATTTATTATAGCCTTCCTGTCATCCCAAACCAGTCTGGCTATTCTCCTCTGACCTCTCTCATAAACAAGGCATTTCCACCAGCAGAACTTCTGCTCACTGGATGTTTTTGTTTTTCACACCATTCTGTGTAAACGCTAGAGACTATTGTGCATGAAATCCCAGGAGATGAATAGTCAAACCAGGCCACCTGACATCAACAAGAATTGAGACCCCATTTTTTCTACATTCTGTTGGATGTGAACATCAACTGAAGCTCTTGACCAGTATCTGCATGATTTAATGTATGCACTGCTGCCACATGATTGGCTGATGGGATAATTGCATGACTGAGTATAGGGGTACAATGTTGGTGCCCCCAAATCCCTTGTAATTAGTTGGTTTCCTGCATTAATTTGTTATAAAATGCCATCTGATCTTCATCAAAGTCACAAGTATAGACAAACACAATGCGCTTCAGCAAACAACACACAAACACTTATAATCTTTCATGTCTTTATTGAACACATCCCATTAAACATTCACAGTGCTGTGGAAACATTAAATGAACTTCGTAAGTGACTGCCTGTTGTTACCTGGATGATCCAGAACTGTTTTTTTTAGTTTTGTGATAGTTGTTCATGAGTCCTTGTTTGTCTTAAGCAGTTAAACTGCCCACTGTTCTTCAGAAAAATTATATCCCCTAACAATAACCCTCACAGAAAAATGAATGCATTTTTACATTAATTAAAATCCTTCATTTAATATGTTTTTTTTAAACTTATGACACTTATGTGTTTGTTTATAGCATAATTATATGTGTATTATATAGAATAGGCCTAGTGAATAGTCTTCATAAATGATATATACCGTAACACACACACACACGCCCCAGAATGCTTCCCTTCTCGATCCATTTTGGTCATTTTAACTGTGTCTGTGACAGACTAGAGTAATGTTGTAAGGTGAACGGTTGGTATGCACTTGATATAATAAAATACATTTTTTAAC